AAGAACTCTTGTTTGTTTCTAAAAAGATTTGAGTAAGGCTATTGGTTAAGAATAGAAATTCCTTTTTTCAAAATTTCCACCCAGTCTGCTCAAATCATCATTTCCTCTGTCCAGCTCCATTCCTGGACATAGTCTCTGAGCAGACACGAGAAGTCTGTCTCTGCTTTATGAATGGAAGTACCTCTCTCTCTGCTCTCAGTGTGAACCAGCTACAAAATGAGGATACCTTAGGCTCTGCGGACCCAGAAGGGGGCCACTGAGCGGCCTGGAGGAGGTGCTTGGCCTCCTCAGCCCTGTCTGCAGCCCTCGGTTGCTGGGAGAGAAGAGCACTGCTGTTGTCAGAGTGATTACACATGCCTGGCATTTTAAAAGTGGGTTGCACATTTTTTTTTCCTTCTCTGGTACTCAGTGGTATTCTCTGCTTTTAGCATTTACATGGCTGAGTAAATGTTTTACAGCTGTTAGGTTGAACTCAGTTCAGTGTTTTCCCCATCCCCTCCCTCCCATTTCTACCTCCCATTTTCTTCTCTTCTGCTAGAGTGTTTATCTTAACAAAGCAGAATCTCACATGTAGATGAGTTCCCTGGGTACACATGCCAGAACCCGCTGGATCGGCCCAAAAACCTCTAGAAGATACACAGTCACAGTTGATGCCATCTCCTCTTGCAAAGCAGAAAACAGAGAAGTAGGTGGCTTAACCCGGGTCACTGCTGGGACTCCTGCTTAGGAGAATGGTGTTCCCTCCACCCTCTGTGCAGACCGTGGATGCTGAAGTGTGAGTCCCAGATCAGGGTGCACGGTGGCCGGTCATGATGCCACTGTTGGAATAGGGTGTCCGTGTGGAGTGTGAATTTTACAGGCCCACAGGTAGTTCCTGCATCAGATGTTTCTATCTATGGATTCCACACCAAATATTTGGCATAGATAAAGAGTCATCCTTGACTTCATCCCACTCCTCCTGTAGCCTGAGAATGACATGGGGGTTGGTTTGGCAGAGACACTTGCCAGCTTGCAGAAGGGACAGAGATATCTACAGGGAAGTTTGAGCCCTTTGATGTGTCCCACAGAGGAAAAGCTATCTGCCAAGAGGAGCCCAGGAAGCGCCTTCTGACAGTTTTGCAGCTGCTCTGGGCATGTGCCGGTGCTCACATGCCAGTTTCTGACCCCAAGGTAATGCCCTTGCACTAGGGTAGTGACAGCCCATCTTGTCTTAACACTTCAAATGTTAATGACTTAACATTTAAATGGTTGTGTTCTGCCCTTTTTTGGTTTTTAGGAAAGTTAAGAGAAGTGTAATTACCTGCATGGATTAGTTGGAGTAGGCTTGAAGTGAGGGGACTGAAGGGAAGGTCTCTCTTTCCTTGTGCCCTTTATGATTTATTCTCTGCAGAACATACGATCTTCTAATGACCTTCATATGTCAGTTACATTAGTTTTTATACTTGTTTGCTGTACTGAAATGTTTCCTCCATGGGAGACAGAGTTTTGTCTTTTCATAGCTGCTATTATTTGTACCTCTAGAACTGAACCTGGTAACTATTACGTGTTGAATAACTTTTGTAATTGAAGGAATTAATTTACTCTCTGGAAATATCTAATGAAGTCCAGAGAGTCCGTATTTGTTCCAGATGTTCAGGTGGTAGAATGGAAGTTGAGATGTAAGATTAGAGGTTTTCAGAGTGCACAACCTAGGACTTGCTGCAGTAAGGCAGCCTGTGGTCCTTCTACATGAGCATGCCAATTTTGTCAGAGAAACCCAGGCATGACAGTGATGGCAGGGCCGGTGTCTGGACATCAGCCTCAGTACTGCAGTCCAGCATTCACCATTGAGCCAGGCAGACAGAGCTCCACTCTCTTTTCCAGCATTAGCTCTGTGGAGAACCAGCCCCAAAGACATACAGGTTCATACCTGTGTGAATCTTGCCCCCCATGACTAGATCACCATGGTTGTGCTCAGCCACTGGGGCCTCCAGATCTGGTGACAAGGCTGCACTTCCATCACTGTGCATCTCTGAGGTTCCTTCTGGTTCACCATGCTGGAATAGAACACTCCTTTGGACTTAAAGGGAAGTTCTTTTTCTTTTGTTGACCATGTGGGGAAAATTATGCTGGATGGGTACCAATGGCACACTTGTGGGTATGTCATGGTGGAAGAAAACACATAGAACATTTTGAATCTGGAAAGTACTTCCTCCTGATTTTTCTGTATCAGCTGCCCTTCCTCTTTGATAATGGGTCCAGTGATGAACCTATTAGTAGTACCATGTATTAATTTCTTCAGTGATCACACACTGTCAGAACAGAGGGACCTTTGCCTTCCAGCTGTCATATGCAGGAATCTTCATGTGGAGGAAGCATTGGGTGTTTCTGGACCCTCAGGCAGGGAGTGGGTGAAGGTGGAAGGGTTTCACAGTGAGAGGGCGCTGCCTCTGGCTTCTGCAGCTCAGCAACATTCTCACTCAGGAAGAGCTGGATCCAACGTGAACATGTCTAACTCACACATCTTGTGGAAGCAGGGTTGGTAAGAAGGTACACTGCCCAGGTGGTGCAGAAATGGCAGCTCTAGTCTGGGGTGGCATACTCTGGAGTTCTGCTTTTCCCAACTGTCCTCTAGTCAGTTGATTTTACTTTTTGCTCTTTCCTTTAGAACATTTTCCAGTATCTATTGATCTGGCAATCAATTCAACTTTTGGGAGTTGATATTATAGAACTGTAAATAAAAGATAAGAGTGGTTCATGATCTGTGCATGAATGTATAGATATATAATAAAATGATTTGGATGGCAAAAAGCAGGGAAAATCTGAATGATAATTGAAGGGGAAGAGTTGAGAAAATTCTAGTTTATTTATACTATTAACTATGAGACTCACAGATTTATATCTATTGTCCTGAAGGGATGGGCAAGATGTAGAGTCCAGTGAGAAAAGCAAGAGAAATATGTATGATTTAACTTAATAGATATAATTTAATTCTGAGAGAAATAAATAGGGGTCTGGAATGAGAAATCTGAGAGTTAGAGGGGCAGTAATGACACACAGGGAAGGACAGGAAAAGGGGACAGCTGGTGCATGCCTGCCCGTCATCTGTGTGTCTGCCTATCATTTGGTTATGTTGTCTGCATTGGTTGTGTTGAATATGTAATAATGTAGAGGAGTAATAAGAGAAAAGGGAGAGAAAGGAAGATAAATTTCATTTTCTTATATGATAATCCCATCTTTTGTTCTGTTGTTCTTTATAAACATTGTCTCTATCTTGCTATTAAAGACAATCCAGAGGTTGCATAATGAAAACTCATTAGTTTTAATTATTTGAAGATGGTGTTTTAAATAAGTTAAAAAGAAATGCAGAAAATGTTTAAAAGTAAAATATTTGGAGTTAAGACAGGAGTTCTGGATATCATGAAAAATGAATGACTTGAAAATCACTTACATTTTTAACTTGTTTCTCCACTGTACAGAAGGTGTTTGTTTTCACCTAGTATTTCAGAAAAAAGAAAAATGTTTCCTTTCTTAAGTGTAGGGAACTTGGTGTCAAATTAGGAGCCCCCGCTAAGTCAGGGAATCTTCTGGAAGCAAGGAACCAAACAAAGAGGTTAGACTCCTTTGAGTGTGTGTTTGTCTGTGTGATTTTTTTTTTTTTTTTTGCTGCTGTAATAACAATGTGACTGTTTTCTTATGATTTGAATTCTTTCCATCCAGTTACTTTTAATAATTATTGTCTATATTAAATGATCTCTATTATATGTTCATATTTGAAACTGATGATTTTTTTCTACATAAAGAATGCATCTATGGTGGGCTGCGGAGATAGCTCAGGAGCATAAGTGCCTGCCTGGCAAGTGCAAGGACCTGAGTTTGATCCCCAGTACCACATATTGTGCTGGCCCTGGAACCCTGAGGGTGGGAGCACACTCCCTAATACTAGCACGAAGGAAGGCTGAGACAGGAGCATCACTATGAGTCCGAACTGTGTAGGGAGACCCTGTATCAAAACCAAAACAAAACAATGCATCTACATGTAGAATAACCAGGACATTGGACACTCAGTTGCTGCTTAAGAGAAGTATGGGGAGGATTAGATACAATTTCATATTCTCATTTGGGTGTAGATTCAGAGCTGATCCCCAGTAACTATACTAATTGATACCAGTAACTATACTAATTGATACTAATTGATAATATACTGATATTTCTATCAGTAGAAATAGTCATTGAAGCTATCATATCTCCTTGATTTTAAGATGTTCATCTGTTTGTTCATTGCAATCTGAATGCATCTTACTTCACTTGTATGCATCTATGAGGGTAATGTTATAAGTTAGTAATGGCCTTGTAAGTAGAGGTGCTGAAAATCCTGGTCATTTCAGTTCTGGATATTTGACTAGGGTAGCAGTCTATACAGTAGGGCCTTGGTTCAGACAAACCAGGAAATTATAACAGCATAAATCAGGAAATTATAATAGCATAAATCAGGAAATTATCATTAGACTGGCATAGGTAAGACCAAAGTCCAGAGTGGGATCTGTGCTTGGCTGACTCCATCTTTCTAAGTCTCAATGTTAATCCCATGGTGCCATCATTTTGGGAAAACTGGCCATGTATGGGGATATTTTTCCACCTCACGGAATGAAAAATCTTCTATGAGTTCAAAACCCAGAATGGTATGGAGGAGAAATTTCCTGTCCCAGGGGGTGGGCTGATCAGAGGAGGAAGTGCCTTTGGTGCTGGAAAGGACAGAGGAATCATGAGTGGAAAGGGAGGTGGAAAGATATACCTACCAGCTAGGTCACTTTTACTCCACATCCGCCCTCAGCATCCTGTTGAGCATTTCCTCTCGGCTTTGTTGTCACTTTGTTTCCTTGGGCTGTTTGCTTCCTCTCCCCTCGCCTCTGCCCTGGCAGCAGGCTAGTGCGTGAGGCTTCAGGGCTAATGCTCCTGTGTGTGTTGGAGTCCATGGTCCTTGGCTGCTTATCTCATGCCTTTTCTTTATGATGTTTCAGCTCATCCACCATACACCATGTGCTTTAGAGTGAAATTCTACCCACATGAACCCTTGAAGATTAAAGAAGAGCTCACAAGGTATTTTTTGTTTGTTTGTTTGTATGTTTAACTTGCCCCTCTAGCCAGCCAGGGCCTCTGTGTCTTACGGGCTCCACATACCTCTTGTCTAGAGACCATTTCCATGAGGCAGGCGCTGCACTCAGCATTTGGCTTGGAGAGCTGCTCTTACACTTAATTGTCCTAGAGTTTCTTTTTCAAACAATTGTCATTGGGAGTGTAATTATCTGCACAGAAAAGCAGTGGTTATGAGGGGGAGGTATTCTCTGAAAACATCTGACAGTGGGGTTCTAAAAATAAGTATACCAGTGTCTTTGGGACATGGGGAATTCATGGCTAAGTCTCCCCTGGACTGTTTCTTAGAACCAAGCTATTCCGGGAGGGACAATGATGCTTGAGCTGATGGACAACTGGTTGTCCTGCTTTCCTCTTGATGAACTGATCGAGTGGCCCGCTTCCCTTTGCTTGAGGATGCTCTTCAGCACAACTCCCCAAATTCCCCATTCCTCAGGCCTCCCAATCTCCTTCCCTCCACAGGGCTTCTGGGGGTTTTGCTTCCCTGAATAACTTGATGAGGCTCTGATTTTGGTAATCCCTATAGAACACTGGGTATAATTACCTCTTGGAACCATTTTCTTAGGTGCAGACTCAAGAGAAAAGCAAACACAAATGGTAAAGAGCATTGGCAGATGTGGTTAGGGTTGTTGAGTATTTTGCTTTCTTTTTATCCAGAGAGAGTCTCTGGTAAAGACTGACCCTAGAGAAGCCAATATGACTTTGGGAAGAAGCAAGTGATTCTGTTTTGGATTATTAATGTGCCCACAGCAGCCAGAGGAATGTATGTTGTAGGGGTGGGGATGAGGTGGAGTGTGTGAGAAGGTGGAAAAAGAGGCTGCGTGAGAATAGGATAATGAGAGATGGGGACACCTTAAATGTTGTTTTTAATTTTGCACCCTGGCCTGTGTTCTTATTTTACATTGAGGCAAAATTCATGTAGCATGAATTAATCTCACCATTTTAAATACACAGCTCGGTGGCGTCCAGTTCACTCATGGTGTTGGTCAACCACCCCCACCTTCTAGTTCCAGTGCATTTCTGTCACCCTGTAAAGAAACCCCATACCCAAAAGCAGCCATTTCACATCTCCTGTCCTACCTCCCGGCAGTCGTTAATCTACTTTCTTTATGGGTTTGCCTGTTGTAACATTTCTTATCGGTGGACTTATACAATATGTGGCTTTGGCCTGCTTTTGGATTTTTATTTAAATTCCTCTGTGGCTCTTTTTATTTACTCACTGGGAATGGACTCCATGAGCTACAAAACAGCAATAGAAAGTTGGGAGAGAGAGATATTTATTTTGCTTCAAGGATGGTAATGGTGTAATTAGGAAGATCCAGTAAAAAGGGAATGTCTTATTTTTTTTCTCTTTCTCTTTCTTTTTTATTTATTTATTTATTTATTTATTTATTTATTTATTGTGTGTGTGTGTGTGTGTGTGTGTGTGTGTGTGTTTGTGGCCAGCTCAGCCCACCTGGAGGCGGGGCTGACTGGAATGTGGTGCTGGGGGATTGAACTGTGGTCCATGTGCTTTGCTAAGCTTGTTCTAAGTAGGTGCTTTAGACCACTGAGCCATCTCACCAGCCCAGAATGCCTTATTTTTATCGTTTGTTTTCTTTATGATCTTTTCTGGACAACAGGAATTCAATATATGTCATAATATAAATTGAGGTTGAATCTTTGTTGTTCATAAAAATGGTCCCACATGAGAATAAAAGAATGCAAAGTTTTAGTGACTAACCCTAATTAGTTCCCTCTCAATTAAATTTGCTAGTGTTTTCTTGCCTTTGACTAAAGAGCTCGGGTATGAATAGGAAATTATTTTGAATATTTGATGTTTCCAATGGAAATTAAGATAGTGTCCAGCCTTTTCACAGGTAAAAAAAAACATTCTTTTTTGTTGGTCAGCAGCATCTTTAGATTTACAAATCAAGTGAGAAGCAGTGAATTGCCCAAAGTGATTAGAGTCTAAATCCTTGTTTGGAAAGCATTTGGCTTTTATTGTATTGCAGTTGTAATTTTGTTGTCAGGTTAACCTAAAATTTGAGACAAATATAATATACATGTGAGAAATCAACACTGTATTCAGGACTATGCTAGGAATAAAGAAATATTAAGCAAAAGCCAGGTTTAAGTGGGCAGAGCAAGAAAAATACTCATAAAAAGCGTTTGGAAATAATTTTTCATGTTTTCTTTTTCTTTCCGTTTGAACAATCAGTTTACAATTCTTTGTTTTCCTTGGGGTTTTATAAATGTCATATGCATTTGAATGTTACCAAAAGTACGATGGATTTAATTGTTTTAGTGAAAAAGTCTTTAAATTCATTTTAGTAAAGAAGCAATATCATTAATGGCAGCACAAAGATTTAGGTCCCAGATCCTCCTGTGTTTTGCTTGTTTAATCCTCTCAGGCTAGAGTGACGCTAAAGAAAGATGCATTAGTTTTGATGGCTGTTGTATTTAAAAAATGAGCATCCTGACCCTGAAGCTGTGGCAAAGCCTGGTGGATTATGTTGAATCCACAATAATCCTTGATTATCTCTGGAGATCACTTAGAACAAACACCAAGCTGTGACACGGGCTTATTTTATAAAACCTGATTTCTTAAATTATGAATTAGACCTCAACCATCTCATATGAGTAATTCTTTAAGCTGTTTTTCATTGCCAAATTTATCAAAAAGTAGAAATTTTTATTTCAATGCATACATTTAACAATTAGGAAGGAATCCAGCCCCTTGACATGTTGCCTGGTTAAGATCTGGTCATTTCACCATCTTCTTTTCTTCCTCTTCCTCTTCCTCTTCCTCTTCCTCTTCTTCTTCTTTCTTCCTCTTCCTCTTCTTCTTCCTCTCCTCCTCCTCCTCCTCCTCTTCCTGCTCCTCCTCCTCCTCCTCTTCTTCTTTCTTCTTCTTCTTCTTCTTCTTCTTCTTCTTC